TTGATTGTATCATTGATTTCAGTTGATTGTATCATTGATTTTAGTTGCACTCTGTAGCACTTTAAGATTTTTATTAATGAAAAGTGCGTTACAAATTAAATTCATTATTATTATTATTATTATTTATGTTCAGGCTGCTGTTTAATACACCTTATTTATATTATTATTGTTAGTGTATATCTTAGATCCTTATATACTATTTTATTTATACTTTATATTTTTGCTATTTTTGGGTCTAACTGGCACCTTGAGTGCACAATTTTGTTCCACCTCATGTACCACATGTGATGCAAATGACAATAAAGTCTCCTTGAACCCTTAGAAAAGGGCTACAGACACCCACAAGCAGAACAGGATTAAGGAGTGTGCGAGTTCTTTGGCTGGAGCTTCTTTTGGCTCTGCCCTGACATAACGTTTTGAACACATACGTATGATATTGAATATGTGCACATTAACTTCAGTAGTTCGAGTCACACGGAGCAGAGCTGCTCTTAGCTTCAATGGAATATTGAAAATCTGAAGAACAGAAAATCGATAACCCATCACCTGAAATTAAGAGGTCTGCTCTGCCACAGTTTAATTTTAGTCTTTTTAATGAGAGAGAAAAGATCAAAAGATAGAATATCAGAAAGCCAAATAACAGGCAACAACGTTCAGTAAAGCAGAATGAGCAGGTCCAGGCAGATGACCTACTTGTGGTTCTGCTGGAGGTTTGTTCTTGTTAAAAAGGAGTCATTCTCTGACTTCAATGGACTTGTTGTTTTTGACGTATAGTTTCCTGAAACAGCTTTTGTTGTGAATCAGCACTATATTGATAAGCCTAATTGATACTAAATTTAACTGGAAATAATTGACTATTTTAATATAGTAGTAGAATGGACTATGTGATTAAAATATGTGAAAAAAGACCAGTGATAGTTTCTGTTTGACACAAACTGGAACTATTATTTGAAACGCATTCAGCAACAATAAACAGCTTTATTTCATGGTTTCAAAACTGAAAGTCTGATCTAATCTCCAGTGCGTAACATCATATTCTCTAACTTAATATAAGCCAATTTTATGCAACTTTGTTCATTACTTTGAAATCCAACAACATTTCCACTGCAACAAACGTGCAGGCATGGAGAATAAAGAAGTGAAGGAGGGACCCGTCCTCAAATTATTATCATTTCTGTGTTTATTTTGTGCATAAATTGAATTTGGCAGATCACATGACATAACGAGCTCTTGGGATGCAAGTAATACTTTGTACGTATATTTTAAATAAATATAGCACAACATTGTAGAATATTGATTTTCTTTTAAAGAACTTGTGAAATGAGAGTGACTTAATATGACATGTAATTAACACACTCCTGCCTTCTGGATTCAGCTCGTCAGAAAGAAGAACCATCATCGCTGTGCGCCTGTCACAGTGTAACACGGAGTGTTACTGGACTGCTCACCATGTTTACGTCTACAGCCATGTTGGTTTGTACAGACATCTGTTTATCTGACATGGGGCAGGAGTTCCCAGAGGACGGCAGCTGGACCAGAACTGTCTGCTGGAGAATGGCAAGTGGAATCATAAAGAAATTAAGACGATTCTGCTTCAAGTATGCTGAAGATTTTAAATGAACAACGTTCTGTTTGGTAATCTGAACCAAGTGTTTTATAAAATCTTTGACAGACCTAAACACACAATAATCACTGCTCAGTTTTGAGGAACCCACTTTAAACAAGCATGCTGATGTCCTCTGTCGACGAGATTTAAATAGAGAATTATTTTTTTAGTTTTAGAGATGAGTGTTTTTCCGGACTGGAATTCAACAGGGAATACAAGTAAACCTCAATGTTTGGTGAAAATATTCAAGCGGGCAAGAGTTACTCTGTGTAGAAGAACAGAGGTGTTTTTTTGCTTGTCTGAGGTGATGCAGAGTGAAGGATCCTGGAAAACAGAGGGCACAATTTTATCCAAGACCAGTTGCATTGACAGAGCCAGGGGGTGGTCAGTGGTGGCCGTGGCCACCATAGATTAAGCTTCAGCCACCCCAGTTATTTGAATAAACTATACTTTTAAGAAATATAAAAACTAGAAAGCATGGATTCATCAAATGATAGGGGTGGTTAGTTTACATATTTCTATGGTGGTGGCCATCTTGGATTTTGGTGTGACGACCCAATTTTCGATTGTGACATTTCTTACACCTAGAGGCAGCCACAAACCAAAAAGAAAATCTGCATGTTGCTTATTTCTCAAATTATCTTGCTCAGGGGTTCTCCATCTTTTTGGGTCAGGGACCCCTTACAGGGGAGAAAATGTTTCAAGGACCTCCTCATAACCCTCACGTTTATTAAATAATTTTCTTCAATTTGTCTCTTTACTGCAATGGAAATATTTGTGTCACATAAATACTTAAGACCTGTTCTTTGATAGTGTTAATACAATTTTCATACTTTTAATCATGGGGTGTTTTTCATTCAAGACACAATTAATTAACAATGTTTTTAATTTCAACTTCCAAAAATTAGTTGAGAAAATTAACAGCATCAAAAACCACTTTTAAAGTTTACCTATTCACATAATGAACATAAATGCATGGCCTCTTCTTCAAATTATCACCAACAACTCTTCACATTAAACTGAACAGAATCATAACAGCAGTAGCTGTACCAGGTAACAGGTCTTAATTTGTAAACTGATAAATGCTGGAACACAAAAAGCGGGCAGGTGGGGGTGGGGGGTCTAGGGGGCATACCTCAGAAAATTTTGAATAAAGTAGATGTGATTTCCTGCATTTTGGTGTATTTTAACTGGTTGTTAAACATCTACGTACTTGTAAATAATAATAATAATAATTAGGAAAAATATATATATTTTTTTCCCCTGCAAGCTGGTGCTTGGGGGTCCACA